ACATGTAAATCCATGGCTGATTCATGTCAATGTATGGCAAAAACCACTACAATATTGTAATTAGCCTCCAATTAAAATAATTAAAAAATCTTCAAATTAGCCAATTTAACAGTTATTTCTATAATGCCTTAATTAAGCAAGGAAGGTTTTCTGAAAAGAACAAATTCCCTTAAGAATGTCTTATATTTTATATAACAGTCATGCAAAGTAAAAACATAGTGTCTATTTTCTGTTTTCCAACTTAGATTTGGCCAATATGCTCATAAAATAACCTTTAAAGTCATTTATTTTTATTTCACCCATCAATGTAACGAGATTTAAGTTCTTGAAATCAGTTTCAAAGATCTCAGATAAGATAAAATCAGTTGTTTCTCCACAATCTAACACATAGAGTAGTCCTTTTGTACCTGAGGTGTACTGGCTACAGATACTGAAACTTGCAGAGTATCTGTCCCTTATATAAAATGGCACAAAAAAATAAAATAAAATAAAATGGCACAGCACAGTTGGTCCTCCATGTCTGTGGTTCCACATCTGTGGATTCAATAGCCAAGAATCAAATTGGTTCAATCTGCAGATGCAGAACCCCTGGACAGGGAGTGCTGATGGGAGTATCAAAGGTAGCAACAATGCGGCATGAGCCTGACACTTCGCAGAATAACAGGGTTTAGGCTGTTCTGTTTTCCAACAGAAAGCCTGGACATTATCCCACTGATGTGCTTTTCCTGTTGCAGAGACACATTTTTATTTGTTTAACAGTTAAAAGGCAGTAATATTTTCTAAATTATTAAAGATTTTAAAAATCTATTTTCTGTGTTAGGTAAGAGAGTAAAACAACATTCTTTCATTACTGGAAAGCTGAGACAACACCCTACAGCCATTCAGCTTTTTTTTTTTTTTTTTTTACATAAAGCACTAAGTGCAGAACTGGTTCTACAATTCTGTTAGGGGTTGCTAAACATAAATGGTACTTGTTTTTCATCATTCATGGTGGATTAAGATATAAATAAAATTTGTAAGTTACTTTTAATCACCTCACAAGTAAGAGAAATAATGAAAAGATTTNTTGTTTTTCATCATTCATGGTGGATTAAGATATAAATAAAATTTGTAAGTTACTTTTAATCACCTCACAAGTAAGAGAAATAATGAAAAGATTTTGCTGGTATTCTAACTTCTTAAATTGCTACAAAGAATTGCTCTTATGCCTCAATATATTTATACCCCATTATAGGGTTAACTCGACATATACCAGACCGGAGAATCTTCATGTCTCAATTTTGAACACAATCTCAGGGTCTTCTGTAGCCTAGGTTTTCTGACAGTTACTCCAGTATTTTTCTGCCAGTTTCCATGACTTCACTGTGCTCCTTCACTCTCTTTATCTGGTTCCAATATGTCAGCACATCACTGTGTTATCACAAATTCATTCTCTAAGTATGTGGGAATAAGAAAGCTCTCTGCGTCCAAGATCATGGTGATAAGAACCTGCATAAAGGCCCACTACATGAGTGTTCATTATGTGGAAGAGTGGCCAAAGGTGAACTCCTAGTACCCAAAAATGGAAACTGGGTACTGCTCCCTTCTAATTGTAAGTCTTATTCAAATTCTTTTAAGAGGTACTCAGAATGTTCCCAAAGAAACAGGAATTAGCAGCAAAGGATGAAATTACTTCTATTCAATCAGATGATACATAAGAGATAACATTTATAAAATATTAACTAACAAGATCTACTGGTATTTAATGACCAAACTGCCACTTTGTGTAATAAAGTAGTATCTAAATTCATTATCATAACTAATGATCTAACAAGTTCAAAAGTTTCAGAAAGATATAATGATAATGTACTTGTAATATAATAAAGGCAGATATAAAATGCATTTTAAAATATTTAATGGCTAGTACTAATAATTTATCTTCAAAATAGGGTAGTAAATACTTAGAACAACTTTAAAATAGTGCATCCTCAAAGTGCTATCTCAATAGACATGAAATGCTACATAATATTTTGTTCTGTTTTAGTAAGATAATTATCACTATGTTGGAATATAACAACAAAAGAATAAACTTACAGAACCAGACAATGCCCCTGAAGTAAAGTTGATCATAAATGTTGGTTCATATAAGCCAGATCTTGCACACAACCACTTCTTTAAGACTTCATAGTTATACCAGTACATTGCTACAAAAACAGAATAGAATGAACACATTTAGAAATGAAATGTGGACCTTATGGAAAATATTTGAAGAATATTATATATTAAAGGAGAAGAGAATTCTAGTATTGACACACCTTGCTTTCTGCTTAGACACACAGGAGGTGAAATTTGTAAAAATAGTAACCAAATTCTCAGTAATATTCTAGGGGTCTTTTTAAAATATTTAATGGCTAGTACTGATAATCTATCTTCAAAATAGGGTAATAAATACTTAGCACTTTGAGGATGCACTACTTTAAAGTTGTTCTATTTCAATAGACATGAAATGCTACACAATATTTTGTTCTGTTTTAGTAAGACAATTATCACTTTTGGAATATAACAACAAAAGAATAAACTTACAGAACCAGACAATGCCCCTGAGGTAAAGTTGATCATAAATGTTGGTTCATATAAGCCAGATTTTGTCCACAACCACCTCTTTAAGACTTCATAGTTACACCAGTACATTGCTACAAAAACAGAATAGAATGAACACATTTAGAAATGAAATGTGGACCTTACGGAAAATATTTGAAGAATATTATATATTAAAAGAAAAGAGAATTCTAGTATTGACACACCTTACTTTCTGCTTAGACACATACTAGGTGAAATCTGTAAAAACAGTAACCAAATTCTCAGTAATATTCTAGCAGTCTTATAAACAAAACTATGCGTCAGTAAAAAGTAGGACTTTAATCTCAAAACCCAACAAGAACACGAGAGGAAAGGAGAGAGTCACATCTCATGAACACTGATGTAAAAATCCAAAAGAAGAAAAACTGAAGTATTTCATGAACTATCACACACTATGACTAAATTAGGTTATCTGATAAACACAGTGGTGGTAAACATAAGAAATGCTTTAGATACCGTGTAACACATTAACAGAACTGTAAAATCATCTAAAAATGATGGAAAAGCATTCAAAGAAATTTATTAGAAACCGAGGAATAAAAGGCAGCTTCTTCGACTGGATAAAGGATATTCATCGCGAAGTTAAAAATGAAATAGTTATAATTTACACATTATTCTCTACATAGAAAAAAGGTAGGCAGACAAATTAGGATTCATAACAGTTTTAGAAGAAGCTGAATATAAGCTAACAGACAAAAATCAACTCACATTGCAACATCCACAAACACCTGGAAAACTTTTTTAAATAGATTTTTTTAAATAGGCACTAACAGCTGCGGATTCTTGTACATACCCAGCAAGAGACTTAAACAATGTTCCCAGCATTGTTTGTTTATTCATGTATAAACAAGAGTGAAATCAAACAGCTGCACATATGAAACAAAACTTAAAGAATATTTCCAAGTAAAATAAATTTTATACTTCAAAAATAGGCAAAACTGAATACCATTGTTTAGTAATAATACATATGTGGTAAGAAACTACTTTTTAAAACCAAGTAAGTGATAAAAATTCAGGTAAGAGGTCACCACTAAGGATGTCACAATGGAGGGGACATATGTTGTTTCCTGATTTTTAAAACTGCCGTGTTCTAATTCATTTACAGAGGTGGTGACGTCACAGGTGTTTATTAGCACACTTGGTAATTTATATCCTTACTACTTTTTATGTATAAAACATCAAAATAAAAAATGAACAAGTATTGGTCTAGGAATCCATGGTGTTTCTAAAAAGCACAGCTGAACACAAAAGTTGAAGAAAAATACTAATGGAAAGGGAAAGATACAGGACTGTGAACAGGAGTCCAAGCAAAGGATTAAATCAAAGGGAGAAAGAATGTGGAATGTTAATACAACAGTTCCCAATAATTATTTCTTACAGGTTTTAAATGGAAACATCAGATTCACAAGAGAAGTACTACTGAAGTATGCACATTCTATAAGTTGTTAATTCTGTATTTCTTCTTGATTTTCTCCCTTCTCATAATTCAATGGTTAGCACAATCTTGAATCTGATTTATAATGGTCCCTACAAGACACTCAAGTGGGGTAGATTTTTAATCACTGAAAAAAGTAGGAGTCAAGATAATTCACTTAAAAGTTATGATATTTTGTAATTCACTTAAATGTTATGTTATTTTGATTTGTAGTACTTTACATATCTTACTAATTATGACTTCTTTACAATAATTTTAAAGGTAGTTTGCATTACCTAAATATGAGTACTTACCAACTGACATTTAAAAAGAAAGAAAACACAAAGAGAAAAGAAAACCAGGCTTGAAACAGAAACGGTTCATTAAATAAATACTTACCAAGATCTGAGAGCCACACTGAACTAGGTGTGTGTGATCACCTAAGATAGTAACATTACCTTTGGCCTTAAAGAGTCTAGAGTTAAATTTTTTTAAAAAGTCTAGAATTTCCTTGATTTAAAAGTGGTATATACAAAGCTACTTAAAATGTAGTAGATAAATCCTACCAGAGAATGGTACATCTCTAAGAATGGTAGGAGCCCAGCCCCTCCAGAGGGAAATCCAACCATCTTCAGATACTTTCTTGCTGACAAATCGATGTAGTTACTCATAAGAAAACTTCTTAGATTGCATCTTGGTTCTAATCAATTCCAGTGGACTTATTACAGTCACTGCGCCAACTGGTACAAAACAAGCGAATACAACAAAAGTAAAGCCATGCATTATGAAGACATGCGTGCAGAAATGAGTATTTCATGCATTTTTATATTTTAAAATTTTATTCTGAAATGTCTTCAAACTGTACCTAGTATCTAATGATGGCAACATCCTGGCTCAGATTTTTTTCCTTAATAAAGGTATTTCACATACCTTACTCTTTCAAGAGCAGTTCCACAGCCATTATACATCAACCAGGACTATTATAAACCTCACTTCCACTACACAGAGAAAAGTGTCCTTCTGATTAAACTCTGAATCTCAAAGTGTATACAGAAAATGATTAAAGACTCTGGCATTAATTAGACTCTGTGTTATTATCCTAAAATTTAGAATCTAAGGTCTACAATCTCAAATCTAAAAACTCTGTCCAAGAATTAATGGGATGGGTTTATCCCGTCCCGTTCTGATGGCAGTCACCACACAATATGACCTCTAGAGCATAGGTATTAACATATGAGGACGAACTACAATGCAAAATAAATCTTTACCAATACTCTATTTGAAATTCTCTATAAATTTAAAAATGTTAAAACAAGCTATAAGTAGAAATCAGAATGAAAATATTGTGAATTTATTACTTACGTCTGGCCACGATTCCAGCAACAATTGGTATGCGGCTTTCATTTTCTCCTAATTTAGATCTCAGAAGAGCAGTTAATTGATCATAGCAGGTAAAATAAATAACTGTGGCAGGGACTGCCATCACTCTGTTAGAAACATACAAACAAAAAGATTTGCACAACACTATCAAAAGGCTTAAACATACTCTTAAGTTATTATTAAGTACAAGACACAGTGTGTAGTGCACGTGTGCCCTGTCATGTCAGGCTCTGAGACCCCATGGGCTGTAGCCCGCCATGCTCCTCTGTCCATGGAGGTCTCCAGGCGAGAACACTGGAGCGGGTTGCCGTTTTCTTCTCCAAACAGAGGACGTAAGCCCTTGAGTTTAGAGACAAAGTCAGCCACAAGAGGTGGCTCACCACTCAACTGTGCAGCCCCAGGAGAAGACAACAGAAACAAACCAGACACCCCGCGGATGGCAGACAGGGTGGGGATTTCAGCTGCAGCCCACCACAGTGGTGCCTGAGTGTGACGTCTGAATCTAGCCAAAGTTAACTGCCTTTTAGAAAGAACTGACTCTTGGCAAGAATATAAAAGAACCCAGAGTCTTTACAATGCATTCTTCATAATGTTCACTATCCAATCAAAATTCATTAGACATAAAAAGAAACAAAAGAAAAAGTCATCAGAAACCAGCACTGAGATGACTAAGATGATGCTATCTGCAGACAAGAACTCCAAAACACCTATTATAAACATGTGCAAGGGGTACAAAGATGATGGGTCCATAGTGCACGGGCAAATTTGGAATTCAGCAAGGAAATAATTACTGTTAAAACTGCCAAGTGAAAATTCTAAACCTGAAATGAGAAATTAACTAAGTGGGCTTAACAGCAGAAAGGAGGCAGCAAGGAGTCACTGAAGACAAATCTAATTTTAAATTGGAAGAAGGAAGAGAAAAATAATGAAGAAAAATAGGAACTTCCCCGCGGTCCAGTGGTTAAGACTCTATGCTTTCACTGCCGAAGGTCTAGTTCAATCCCTGGTCAGGGAACCATGATCCAGCAATCCACGTGGCATGGCCAAGTTAAAAAAAAAAAAAACCTTTAGAAAAATGATCAAAGGCTCAGAGACTTGAGGGTAGAAAAATGATCAGGGGCTCAGAGACTCGAGGGGAAATATCACGCTGTACAGCACTGGTTTATGTGGAGTCATAGAGAAAAGGAGAGAAAACAGAAGAGGAAATTACCTGATGAAATGATGAGCGAAAAACTCCGTGAAGTAGTGAAAGGTATCAATTGACAGAGTCCCAAATATCAAAAAAAAGAGAAAAAAGTGAATAAAAAACAAATAAAACAAAAAACAGTAGAGGACAATGACAAAATACATATAGGGAAAGGATGATTAAATGAAGACCAACTTCTCAGCAGACATATGGAAAGGCCAAAGGACAATGTAATGACACATTTAAGGTGCTAAAAAAAAAAAAAAAGGCAAGCCAGAATTCTGTACGCTGCCAAATACATGTCAAAAATGCTTTATAAAGACATTTCTATAGAACAAAAACTTAGAGATTACATTGCCAAAATCAAATGATGTGAGTTTTGGTAAACATCTGCTTCTTTTTGGGGGGCTGGAGTTTCAGTAACCACAGCCAGTCATGAACACAGCATGTGCCTATATCATCAGCCCCCACTGCAAACCCTAGACTCGGATTCAAGTGCTGGGAAGACAGAACACCAACACTTGCCGCGGCGGCCCAGCGGGCCAGGGGCTGGGAGAGGCGCATGCGCCCTGCGCGTCACAAGGGGCGGGGCGGGGTCTCGGGAGGACTCCGGCTGGCCAGCTCCTGTTGCGCCTTCCCCCTCACTGATTCCGCTTTGTGCCTTTTGTGGTAACAAACCACAGACATCAGTATACTTCCTGTGAGTCCTTCTAGCAAATCATCAAACGTGGGGTCGTTGTGAGAGTCACAAAACAATGCTCTAGAAAATTAAAAGTTCTGATATTAAAAATGCATGATGTGTCCCATCATACTGACAGAACAAAACACCACCACCACCATCACTAAGTAAGAAAAGTACTAAATTTCAACTTACAACGTAGGAGGAAGGCCACTCCACAGGGATTTAATGCCCTCATTTTGAATGATTTTCAAAAAAGCATCCTAAAATTGTAATAGAAAAAAAGTGGTCAAAATATATACCTGATATACCTGAACCTGATATACAAAAAAGTTTATAGTGATAATTGGTATTTGATTCTTTTAAGCATTTATTTCTAAAATAAAAGCTTCCCAGATTTATATACGCCCATTCTTTAAACAGGAAAAAGAATTTTTCTCAACTTCCAGACACGAATGAAGCATTTCTAAATGACAGTTCCTGCTTACAAAATAAACCTTTATTACTCAGCTTGGGATTGTTCTACTTAGGGCTGAGAAGCAATGTATTTTGAAGATTATTATAAAAAGGAACTGGAGGGATGGCAGAAAGTTAGAATAACTCTCCTCTCCAATTATGAAATCTGAGAGAACATTATTTAAACCCGGTATTTGAAAGCTCTGAGGAAGAACAAAAAGCAAGTAGAAGCTAGAGGGAAGCTTGCTGTTAAAAGTCAAAGTGCCATGAACGAGGTTTGCACGTTTACAGCTTTTCGCCCACGGGAGCTGCAAGGAACAGTACATTTACCTGCTTGAGACGGCAAACACCAGAGTTCAGGCTCGTAGACTAATCAGAAAGTTAGAAGGGAAATCCTAGGAAAGGAGGCCACAGAGGACACTGCTGGTGCTGCTTTAGTCGTTCACCATGTCTGACTCTGCGACCCCATGGACTGCAGCCCTCGGGGCTCCTCTGTCCATGGAGGTCTCCAGGCGAGAACACTGGAGCGGGTTGCCGTTTTNTGGGGTGAGACATAAAGTCCATCATCGCAGCAACAGCAGCAGCCAGAGTATCGGCACTCTGATCCCTGTATCCTGGGCCCGTTTCCACAGGCAGTGTGAAGAAGGCTGGACGACACCTGAACACACAGTGGATGCACCACAGGAGAGGAAACCTGACCTCAGGGAGTCCAAATCATTTACAACAGGGAGTAAGGATGCCTGTATCTTTCAAGGTCATTCACTCTCCAAACAGCCTTGGAAAGATGATCAGGAACAAAGGATAGACAATGCCATGCATATGAGATATGCCCAATGTGAAACACTTTTGAAGAACTGTTTGCCTAGAAATGGGAATTGAGGAATCAATATAATGTTATTAAAATTCAAACCAATAACAGGAAAGGAGGAAAAAAGGGAACAATTAGAAAAATATACAAAAATAGATTAATACTCCAACCATATGAAAAATTATATTAAAGGACTAAACTTTCCAATTAAAAGTTACAACATCAACAGCCATCTGCATACTATCTGTGGAGTCTCTAGGGCTTCCCAGGTGGTGCTAGTGGTAAAGAATCCACCTGCCAATGCAGGTTCGATCCCTGGGTCAGGAAGATCCCGAGCAGGAAATGGCAACCTGCTCCAATATTCTTGCCTGGAGAATCCCGTGGACAGAAGAGACTGGCAGTTCATGGGGTCACAGAGGGTGACAGAACAAGACAGAACTGTATCACCATCTTGGAGTAAAAGAATGGAAAAAGATAGGCTACATTAACACTACTATGAGAAATCGAAAAGCTGCAAGCTGAATGGTGGCTATACTACATTCAGATAAAAAGACTTCAAGATAATGAACATTACCAATGACAATGAAAGAGATTTCATTATAATAAAGATGTATCAGAAAAACATATCAAGTGAATGTGTATGTTCCTAATAACTGAGGTTCAAAACCCTATGAGGCAGACCAGAGAGAACTAAAAAGGAAAACAGACATATCCTCAATCATATCTAAAGAGTATTATATCCTTTATCAGAGAATAATAGGATAATTTTAAAAAATCTGTAAGAATTCAGCAGATCTAAATAAAACATCAGCCACCCTGACCTAATGTCTTATAGAACACTATACCCAACAATTACAGAATACAATATAGACTTTAAAGAGCACAAAATAGTCACCAAGACAGATCATACATAGGGTCATTACACAAGACTCAATACATTAAAAAATCTGAAAACTTAAGAATATATTCCTTTGACCAGATTGGAATTAAATTAGAAGTCAGGAACAATAAGGTATCTAGGAAAATTAATAATCCATGGCAAAAGAAATTACAAAGAAAATCAGAAAATATTTCAACTGATAAAACACAACATAAAAATTTTTTGAACATATCTGATTTACTACTTTGAAGGAAATTCACAGCTTTAAATGTGGAGTTGAGGAAAGAAAGGCTAAAAAATCAATAATTCATGTCTCCACCTAAGAAAGTAGAATGCAATGACCAAAATAAATCCAAACAAGAATTCTGATTTCTGGTTCTGCATGTAAAGAGCTTGAAAACATCACTTCCATCCTCACAACAAGAAAAAAACCTGAACAAACTGAAAAATCAATTCCTCTTAGGATAATCAGAGAATTGAGGTCACTGGTCAAACTGCTACCTTGAACACTGGTAAGTGACAGTGAAATCGCTCAGTTGTGTCTGACTCTTTGCAACCCCATGGACTGTAGCCTACCAGGCTCCTCCATCCATGGGATTTTCCAGGCAACAGTACTGGAGTGGGTTGCCATTTCCTTCTCCAGAGGATATCCCCAACCCAGGGATCGAACCCAGGTCTCCTGCATTGTAGGCAGACGCTTTACTGTCTGAGCCTGGAGAGACCGTCAAATACAGAGACTCACTCACAGCACAGCAGAGCAGAAGCCCAAAGTCAGAACCAGCGCCAAGAGGAAAGCTACGGGCTGTACCTGACAAATGGCTGGGAGCTCGGTGTAGACTAACTGGGGAATCAAAACCTCTGAGGTGCTCCTATGAGTGGGCCTTCACGCTTTCCTGACTTTTAGCCCCTGAGCCCTACCACATCCTCATTGTTAAGATCAGAGAGAAATCCCCTCCTGTTTCCAGCAGGGTAAGGGGAAAAGAAACCAGTTTTCAAATATGCCCCAAATCTCTATTCTCCTTTTTTTAAGGAAGGAGAAACACTCAAGGGAAACTACTTACTGTCTGAGGAATCTCCAGGAAAAGACAACAGGTGAGACACCACCTGGGACAGTGGAGGAAATTTCAGGCTCTACAACACAGCTCTCCAGAAGTAAACAAAGCCTAACGTCTCGCCAGATAAAACTTCACATTAAAGGTCTGTCTTTTAACCCAATACATCATGCCCAGCTTTCAACAAAAAGAATTTACAAAGCATACTAAAAGGCAAAGAATATAGTCTGAAGAAACAAACCAAGCATCAAAATCAGATTCAGATATGGCAGAGATTTTAAAGTTATCAGACTGGGGATTTTCAGTAACAAGGATGAATATGTTAAGGGCTCTTAGTAGTCATCAGAGGACTAGCAGTGGAGGCCTGACAGTAATAAGCCCATCACCAGTGGCGACAGAAACCACCAGGGCAGTCAGAAATTCCACTCCCACTGTCTTAGTCTGTTAAGGCTGCTGTAACAAAACATGAGACAGTAGGTAGCTTATGAACAACATGAATTTATTTCTCAGTTCTCAAGGCCACAAGTCCAAGATCCAGGTTCTGCTGAGGTCAAATGAGGGCCCCGTTCTGGATTTCACACTTCTCATTGTGTCATCACAAGGCAGAAGGGGCAAGGAAGCTCTGTGGTCTCTCTTCTAAGGGCATTAATCTCATTCATGAGGTCTCTGCCCTCCTGACCTGATCAACTCCCAAAGCCTCCACATCCTAAAATGATTGCATCAGGCATTAGGATTTCAACAATGAATTCTGGAGGGAGCACAAACTCTCAGACCACACTGTCCGAAAGTAAAGGCCCCTACCCCCACTGTGGGTGTCAGCGGAGGCTGAGTGAGGAACACGGACCTCCAGCTCTACCAGCTCAATGACAAGCTGCACCCTCTTCCTCTGAGCTGACAGTGTCAAAAGCACCAACTGGAATATTTAAATGAGATTCAGAGCCTCAGAATACTCAAAATTTCCTTGTTGCAATTTTTTAAAAATCACTTGTCATTTTAAGAAACAGGAAGAGGAAATTCCCTGGTGGTCCAGTGGTTAGAAATTGGCGCTCTCACTGCCAGGGTGCCAGGTTTGATCCCTGGTTGGGGAACTAAGATCCTGCAAACGACATGGTGCAGCCAATAAATAAACAATAAGGAAGATGTCAAACTGAATGACAGGAGACAATAAACAGACACCACAGTGAGACTGACAGAATTATCTGACAAAGATTTTAAAGCAATCAACATATAAATCACTGACTGATCACTTACAAACATGTCTGAAACAAAAGAAAAATTAGAACACCTCAGCAAAGGAATATATACACAAAAACCTACATATCAAAATGGAATTTTACAACTGACACCACAGAAATACAAAGGATCATAACAGATTAATAACTATATGTCAGTAAAATGGATGACCAAGAAAAAAAAAAGGAAAAATTCCTAAACCAGAAAGAAATAGAAAATATGAATAAATGAATTACCAGAAATGAAATTAAATCAGTAATTTAAAAACTTCCAACAAACAGAAGTCCAGGACCAGATGGCTTCACAGGTGAATTCTAACAAATACTTAGAGAAGAGTGAATGCCTATCCTTCTGAAACTTTCCAAAAAGCCGTACAGGAAGGCAAACTTCCAAACTCCTTCTGTAAGGCCAGCATCATCCTGATTCCAAAAGCACCAAAGATGTCACACACAAAGAGAAAATGGCAGGCCAGCTTCACTGATGACGTATATGCAAAAATCCTCAACAAAATCTTAGCAAACCTAATTTAATAACAAGATAAACAATGATCAAAAGGGGTCATACACCAGGATCAAGTGAGATTTATCCCAGGGATGAAAGAACAGTTCAGTATCAATAAATCAATCAATGACACACCATATTAACAGACTGAAGAATAAAACCATATGATGAGGACTTCCCTGGTGGCTCAGTGGTAAAGAATCCGCCTGCCCATGCAGGAAACACGAGCTTGATCCCTGATCAGGAAGATCCCACATGCCAAGGAGGAGCTAAGCCTGTGTGCCACAACTATTAAGCCTGTGCTCTAGAGCCCGAGAGCTACCACTACTGAGC